ATTCAGCGTCCCTGCCAGAGACGTCTCTCTGATAATTCCGGCGATGATTCCCAGGAGCTTGCGCTCAGTCTTGCGCAATGCGCCTGGGCCGCAGGTTCTGGTGACCGTCGCAATCATTCCAAGCCAATCTTTAAGCAATAAGGCACATTCGAGGCTGCTCAGAGAATGCTCGATACTTCGAAATGGGAACCGAGTATGGGTAACCAGCCCTATGCCTAAACGTACTGGTATACTCAATGCATGCGCAGCATGTAGGACAGCTCGATCCACCCGAGGTGACCTCTCTGTATGGGCCTTTTCAATCACAAGGTTTCTGATATCTCTTGACAAAAGCGCGCGGCACGGTGCTGAGTGTGAGCTTAGTCGAATATAGGCCAGGCGAAGCAGGGCGGTTGCGTTCAGTCCAAGAGGTCCTTTCTCTGACAGTGGATCAAGAGTAGACTCATGGGTGAGCTCCCAGGATGATTGCCACGTGTGCAGGGCGTTCTCAAAAGCTTTGACTGCATCTGGCTGGATAGATTTTCCCTTAGCGTCACGATTGGCGATGCTTATTTGTTGAAGCAAACCATGAATGAGGACATAGTCAGCAAATGAAGACAATGGAGACACAACACCATCGAAGAGCGACTGGAGTGCTTGTCGAAATAGACGTTGACTGGGAGGATTGCTCCGATGCCAATGTGCTGCGTCGGTGGCCTTCCATGGCTCCATGCAGCTCGGCAGGAAGACGCATATCTCGTGGTTGAAGAGCTGCGGAGGGGTGTCATAGGCGATGTTGTGTAGGCTAAGAAGCACAAACGCGGCAAGTAAGGTCCTCCTCCGCTCCTCGGCAGACACCCACTCACACCAGGCCTGTTCCTTCGCAGCGGCATCCATCAGCCGACCATCCACGTCTGCGGGAACATCCGACTCGGAGAACTGATGCTGTCGGACAAGCATGCTCAATTGTCCCCCCATAGATAATGCGTCAGGCAAGGCGTCCTCTCCAGCCCATGACGCATAAGTAATGAGCAGGATGAGCGTTTGGATCTTTCCAAGTCCATCCCTTCTTTCAAGCATCGGATGATTTCGTCCTGATAGCAACCCAGTTGATAGCTCGAGGCCCTGCCGACGTGTCTTCTCCTCAAATATGGCTTTCGCCATAAAGTACAAGCAACAAGAACAGGAGGTTTCAAATCGGTTCTGGGCTCCAAGAGCGGCGGCCGCCAGCAGTAATTCGACATCCGTTTTTGCGACTGAGAACGTTGCGGAGTGAAGGAAAGGGAGGTTTTCTTGAAAACAGCGGAAGTATGATTCCAGATTACGGCTCAAGGCATTCCGTGACGGCACCTGCCAATTGCCCGGAAAAACTGCCGAGTAGGACTCGACTTCGAGGCAGAAACCTTCGTAAGCAGGCTCGGAGAAAGACCAGGGTAAGATACCTGTAAGATCTGCGAAAGCTCCGCTATGATCCACATCACTGTTAGGTGAACGTTCTGCATCGACTAAGTCTGGCAGACGAGAGCTGAAGCGAGGGAAGTCGTTGGAGCCCGGAGATTGAAGGTGTGTTTGGTCGTCATTGAAAGGGCAATCGGCGTCAAAATCAAACAGGGCGGGCGGTAGCATATCTTGCATGAACAGCTCCGGATCAAAAAGGAGGTCTAGATCATTCACTGCTGTCTCGTCCGCGTGCAACCCGCCCGGTTCATGATGATCCTCATCGACTAACGGGGCATCGGTGCGCTGGGCGTGTGATAACCTGATGTGACGCGACAGGAGGTCTCTGGGTGAAGGGTTATGCGCAAATCTCCCAAGGCGAGAGAACAGGTGCTTGCTTACTTTCTGGTGAAGGCCTGGCCGCATTGGCAAGCAAACGGCGTCTCGCGCGTATCTGCTCATTGTCAGTAGAGTCCTCAACACCTTGATTTTGCACCCGGCCTTCGTACGCGTGCGCTCGTGCCGCACCAAATGTTCCCGCCGTTGGAACTGCTTCCCACAGTAGTTGCACGGTTGCACCACATTTCTGGGTCTCCCTCGAGGCATCCGACCAGCGACTGTTTTGGTGGGTGACAATTTCTAATGTGAAGATGGAAACAAAGGCACAGTGTCAGGCTTTGCCGTTCAAAACCCAGTTGTGAACGTAGACCGCATACGGCGGAGCATATATACTATGGTGGAGCATATAGACCTAACTGGCAGTCTCCATTTACACCGTTCAAGACTGTTTTGACTCTTTCACTCCCATCGTACCTAGGACCTAGTAGAGCACTCGCGTGAAAAGATTCAGGAATTCAATAACCACAGTACCCCCCGCCAGCTCTAAGTCCCCGCTTCGTAAATCTCCTTCTCCATGATCTTCCGGTCCACCGGATAGCTAAGTTGCCCGTCTTTTTCCTCGCCGGGTGTGTCTTCCAGAAGCGAGACTCCAAGTTTGGCAGCCTCGTCGCTTGTAAAGGTACCATAATAGTCAACGTCGTCATATTCGCCCAGGCCCTTGGGTGGGAACACTTTGTTGAGTCCAAGGTATATCGTGAAGCTGATGGCCAGCCCGAGTGGGAAGGCGAGGTAGAACATGTCCATGCAAGCTTTTGGCACACTCACGCTTGGGTTGACGTTGGCAATGAATCCAGGTAATTGTGGAGCCCAACCACAAATCCAAGCCACAAATGCCCGCGGATTGGTGCCGTGGAAATAATAGTAGATGCCCGTTGGGGAGGGTGTGTATAAAGCCGACAACTTCATCCGGCGAGTGCGGATGATAAAATAGTCGCAGATCTGAATGCCACACATGGGTCCCAGGAAGACGGAATCTATCAGGATTATCGTTAGCTAGCTTGCTCGAATCGTGCATATGCTGGACAGCAAAAGGAAAGTTGCGCAGCAAAAAGGAGAAAGACCTACAGGCACCCATAACACTGATGAAAGTCCCCGCAGAGGCAAGCAGCTCCCATGGGCACATGGCAATGGAAAGGATGAGAGCCAGGTAAGCACCTCGCCTGATGTTGAAGTACTTCGGCAACAAACCAGCCATGTCCATGCCAGCCGAGAACGCATTGTCAATAGTGTTAATCGCAAGCTGGCAGACCACCAGTCCACAGCCACCAAAGAAGGCTGCAGCCCGAGATTTAGCATTATAGTTATCATCAAGCCAGCGGAGCAGGAGGTCAGGTGGATTCCAGTAGGCTTGGCCGTATAGCTTGATAGATGCCGAGCTCGTGAGACACCCAAACAGCGGCAGGATTGTCCCCAAGGTGATGATGGAGAACCACTGGCCGAAAATCTGGTCGCCTGGTCGGCGAGCAAACCGAGAGTAATCGGTTTGATTTGTGAGCCCCACTGCGATACCCCCGATCACCGTCGTTATACCCTGCACGATGGCCCATCCTAATTGACTGCCAGATTGTGCCGCCGCGGGGGCTGACAGTAGTGGACCGCCGCCCCCAGCAGTAGACAGGACGTATATCATCATTGAGATGAGTGTGACAACAGAGATCAAATTCATTACGAATAACAACCGCCGAGTCTTCTCAGGGGGGATGTAGAGCATGGGTATGGTAATGATGTTGTACACTATCCAACCGGTCAATGATTTGGTCGTGGTATTTGCAGACTTCGGGAGGGTGTTCTCCATGTGCTGGAAGGAGGAGAAGATGGAACTGAGAACTGCTGTGACGCAGAGACCACCTGTCCAGGATTGTACGCAGAACCAGGTTAGACTCAGAACAATCCGCTGGATGATGATGACATAGGATCCCCAGACACCCCATATGCCACGCGATAGAACTGGAAATCCAATATGCCAGGTTGCACCGACCATTCCATTACATATCGCGACTCCGGCGATAATAAGCTTGCCAATGATGACGGCGATCATAGTCTGCCAGACGGACAGACCGACTGCAATGAGGGACGCTCCCAGCTGCCAGTTACTCAGGGCAATTTGATTGATGGCCCAGAATGAGATGTATGCCCAAGTATCCCAAAGGCGGCGTGAAGGAGGGAGAGGTCGAATGTCATCGTTGATCCAGATTGAGGATTCACCCTGGAGCCGCAGGTGGAAGGAGTGTGGTCTGAAGTTTGGCAGCTTCATCGTGAAAGGTCTGGAAGTGAAATGGAAAGCAGGTCGCAGAAGCAGGCCGGTCTACAGCAGGCCGTGTTGGAATGAAGAAGGACTCAATGTTTGTCGATTGTGCGAGGGATGTTTATGGTGACTCTGGTCAGCAGGTTGCCGTACATATGTGATTCCAGCCGCTTAATGAAGGAAGAGTCGTTATCGTTCGTCCAAGCTGCACCATCACTAGAAGATAGGGAACTTTCTTGAATCTTGAAGACCCCTTGCCAATGTAGGGTGAATGTAATTCTGGTACCGAACCTCCTCGGGAAGCGGTCTAGATTCACGTCAGCACCCGAGCGCCAACAGCCGCCAGGACAAATACCAGACTCTCAAGAGTGCGAGGAGAGGCTTGTTAGTAGCCACTACCATTTAGCAGCCGCCTGCCAAACCCACGAGTATTCTGTCGATTATGTTTTGTGGGGCAACGATCGCCGTCACCTATCTTAGGGCGTAGTCGACCAATGAGGAGTATCCCAGGCTGCGGACATAGGCGACATGCCTATCTAAACCTATCTATGGAGGTCTTGCCGCAAACTAACTAGTTCAGGCTCGTAGAAAGATAGGTAAAGACGCGCATGGATCAGCTTTTGCAAGTTCCTTTGGGGATCGTGCTTCAGGTGCCTGGAAGTCGTATTGTAAACGCGTTGAACTTGCCTCAAACTCCATCCCCGCGACAGGAGTTGCCGAATGACAAGGAACATCTTTGTCAAGAACATGACAAAACGGTAAGAGATCTGGACTGCCGCGCCTACATATCTGATCCCAAACCTTCCTTGTCTGGCCATATGGGTAGTCGACCTCCTTAAACTGAATGAAATTGCTTTGGTGAGCTATCATCCACGATAAACCGCACCGCTCTCGGATCCTTAGAGCAATAATTGTATTTCGGGACTGATCTCGCATTTTAATGGGTTCAATCCGGGCAAAACGAACTCTGAGGATTGGCGTCGATGTCGGAGGCACGAATACGGATGCCGTGCTTCTTGACTTGGACGCAGTTCATCAGCCCAATCGTGGAGTACTGGCCTGGCATAAGACACCAACAACAAGTCCAAATGTGACTGACGGTATCGAGACTGCCGTTGGTAACGTGCTGAAACAGGCCGGGGACCGCGTGTCCGAAATCTCCTGCCTCATTGTTGGGACTACACACTTTTTGAATGCAGTTATCGAACGCGATGTACATCGGCTGTCGAAAGTGGCTGTCATTCGACTGTCAAGAAGTTATACCAGAGACATCCCTCCCTTTTCGGACTTTCCCCCAGCGCTGGCTGACCTCCTCCGCGGCTACCATGGCTATATTGACGGAGGCCTCCACATTGATGGCGCTCAGGAAGCTCCGATCAATGAGGAGCAAGTTATGAAAGAGTGTGAGGCGATTGAGAGGCTCGGGATCAAGGCCGTCGTCATCTCGGGAATTTTCTCTCCTATCGATCAGCATTTTCACCAAGAGAATCGCGTTCGGGCCATAATGCAACAGCGACTCAACGATGTCGACATTGTCTGCTCATCCGAAGTCTCGAATATCGGTTTATTGGAAAGAGAAAATGCTTCCATATTAAATGCATCCATTCTGAGGTTTGCGAGGCGGACGATCCGTGGCTTTCGTGCTGCCATGGGGCGGTTAAGGCTCGACTGCGCACTATTCATCTCTCAGAATGATGGTACAGTCATCGATTCCACCTCGGCCGCAAAGCTGCCCATCAAGACATTTTCCTCGGGTCCCACAAATTCCATGCGAGGAGCGGCCTATCTTGGCCTTGGACAACTGGGAATGCAGGGCGAAGAACGTACGTCAACAATTGTAATTGACGTTGGTGGTACGACGACAGATTGCGGAGTTCTCTTACCATCAGGATTTCCTCGGGCAGCCTCAGCCTACGTCAGTGTGGCAGGGGTGACAATGAACTTCCCTATGCCTCACCTAGAATCAATCGGCCTCGGAGGGGGGTCGATAATACGCGAACGGGAAACGGATGTCTCCATCGGGCCGGATTCGGTTGGATACCAGCTGACTACTAGGTCAAGGGTATTTGGCGGTGACACTTGTACAGCCACTGATGTTGCGGTTGCCGGAGGTCTTGATATTGGGGACCCGAAGTTGGTCAGCGATATTAAGCCTGAAATGATACAGCGTGTTCGCGCTAGGACGAAGAAGATGCTTGAACGTGTCATCGACCGGTTGAAGCTAACGCCAGCACCATTGCCGGTGATTTTGGTTGGTGGAGGTTCTGTTGTCTGTCCGCTAGAACTCGAAGGTGTGTCTCAAGTTGTGGTACCAAATTTTCATTCCGTTGCGAACGCCGTCGGGGCCGCGATATCGAGAGTGTGTGGCTCGGTGGATGCTATCTATAGCATTACCGATATGTCCTTATCCGAAGTTATGGAAGACGCAAAAACCCAAGCCGTTGCAAAAGCTGTGAAAGGCGGCGCCGACCCAAGTACCGTCACAGTGGTCGAGATTGACACCCTGCCGATACCATACGTTTCCGGGCAAATTCGCGTCCTTGTCAAAGCAGTCGGAGATCTGTCTCTTGATTATGTTGCTGAGAGCAAAACCGTCCCCGATGTGGAAGATGATACAAGTGAAGCTCTTGCCGACTGGGTCAAAGACCTCTCGCTGTCTTCAAAGGAAGAGATTGTTAGCGGCAAGTTCGATTTTGACGCATATCGGCCTTTGATCAGACTGAATACGGATACTGGTGTCCATGAGTGGATTGTTTCAGAGACCGACCTTGAGTGGCTAAGTGTAGGATGCTATATCTTGGGTTGTGCGGGTGGCGGTTCACCCAAGGCCGAATTCCTCAAATTGCGAGATCAAATCCGTGCAGGTTGTACGATTCGTATAATCGATAGCTCCTCCCTACGGGACGATGCCCTCATATACTGTGAGTTCGACGAACCACATCGTTGCCTGTTTTGTCGCTGACATGATAACAGGGGGTGGTATGATGGGATCGCCGGCTGTGTCGATTGAGCGATTGAACTCTTCAGAGTGCATAACCGCCGTGGCAGACCTGATGGAGTATCTAGGTCATCAAACATTCGATGCCATCATGGGCCTCGAAATCGGAGGAGCCAACGGCTTAGAGCCTTTGCTCATAGGCTCGTCTCATGCGTTTAATAGACCAGTAATTGACGCAGACTGGATGGGTTCGTGCCTCATCTTCGCACCGCACAGCTATCAGTGAGTTTGCTGACACGATCTCAGGTCGAGCATATCCGACATACTGGCAAACCACAATTGCCGTCCATGAAAGTGGACAGCTGACTCCGTGCGCAATTGCTTCGGGTGACGGTAAAACGATCATCATGACGAAGTCGCCTGACGATGAAATAGTTGATCGTGCCTTGCGAGCTTCTTGTTCGGAGATGGGTTCTAGAGTCGGCATGGCAGCCAGGCCAACGACGACGGACCGTGTGAGGTCTTACGGAGTCATCAACACTTTGTCGCTCTCCTGGCGCATTGGCAGGACGGTAGCCCGTGCTCAACAAGAAAGCACGATACATACAGTTGCTGAACAAATCATAGACGAAGTCGGCGGTCCAACCACGGCGAAGATCCTCTTCCGAGGGAAGATCACGGCAGTGGAACGAAGGGTTTTCAAAGGACATTCTTACGGGGAAATAACCATAGCCCAAGCCGAAAAAGACGAGGAGGAACAGAGGCATGAGAGAGCGGCAGTTGCTGAAGGAGGGGTTGTCAAGATTCCGTTCAAGAACGAAAATATATATGCAAAGCATATCGCCAAAGATGGAAGTGAGACATACCTGGCAACAGTTCCTGACCTGATCTCTGTTCTCGACACGCAATCTGGATGTGCCCTCGGTGTTCCGGAATTTCGATATGGGCTGCTTGTGACGGTACTTGGGATTACCTGCTCACCGCGATGGTCGGACACAAAAAGAGGTCTGGAGTATGGCGGACCGCAAGCATTCGGATACAGCATAGATTATTGTCCTTTGGGTGTCTTTGTTGAGCCCAAGAGTGTTGTTCTTGAATACGCAGATACGACAGCCTGCGCAATATGAGGGTCCTAGAAGTTGGACTGCAGGTATCTAAAGACATTGGCGTGTCACTACCTGTTGAGAAAGATGCCCATATGTGCATTAAGACAAACCATTGCCATCAGTCCTCACTACCCTGTGAGAGCTCATGTCGCGTTGAAGTGTAATCAAATTCTTCGATGAAACAGGCCTTGACTGAATACACATGGTCCTGCTGTGCACGATGGATGCAGAGACACCCTCTTGCTTTGCTGGGGCTCATTAAAGAGTGCCATAGCAGTTTGGACGCGATTAAGCGCGATTTGACGAAGTCGAAAGTGGCAGGCGAGCAAGGATCAGGAGGGAAGCACTAATCCGTATTGGGGCGTGCCAAGAGCTGTTTGTCTATCACGTGAAACGGGGAGATTTTGAGTCACGTGGAGAACCCAGATCAACCCATCGACTGGAATATTCCGATATGCCGACGATTCTTCATTGACTCTCTTTGTATCACACTTGATATCTTCCAACACGATAAATGCCCGTCGAATATACCTCTAGAACATTAGGGTATCTCACATTTCTTAATGTCTCGTGATGATGCCTTACAGAGCAGCTTCTGGCTGAAGAGGAGTAACTGGCCGAGTTCGCAACAATGTGGCACACATCATCCCCACCAATTTCTCTTTCGTCGGTGACATTTAACGGGACTCCTGATGTACCAAGAGCGGAGCCGATTTATTACACACCGCGTAGGAAACAAGCGTCTGCTATTCCCCACAAGCCTGCCTTCTTGTTTACACAGTCGATCTGACTGAGCGTTGAAGCGCTGACAGCTCACGACAGGTGCTCCCGGTGTCACGCGAAAAGAATTAAGTGCTTGGGCGGTATGAACGAGACACTGGAAGCCCGGCGCACGTTACACTGACTAGAGGCTAGGTGTTCCGTGTAGAAATTGCACACTATCTGATTCGCCATGCATTTTTCCACCACCTCGCAAGTCACGATCTTCGGTGAGCCAACAAGGTCCTATCTTGCCTTCAAATAGCCTAAAGGAGGATCATTCAATATCACCCACCGCGGCCAGTGGAGCCTCGATCCCTGCTGCATCAAAGATTGGCAGCTATAGACGTTCCGAAAAAGATTTCAGCTCAAGTCGGTCAAACCAAGGCAAACAAGTTTCGAGACAAACTTATCGTGCCAGTCCTTCCTGCCGAACATTCACTGAGCAATTTACTGCGTGGATTGTGGTGCAGAAGCTCAAGCTTAGTCCATTTGATGAAACCTCCTTTGATCCATCATGGGCTTCCCTGGGGCACATGGAGTCTGGCTTAATGAATCCTGGGTTGGAGATATCAGTTGATACCGAACTAACCCGTCCTTCGGTTGGATCGGAGGCTAGCCGACCAGTAAAGATTCGCATGCCGCCCTACAACCACAGCATACACCTAATTCAGTACGTTGAGTTCGCAATTGGCCACGACCAGCACTACTTTCGAAGACAACACATTCGCGCCAGGGTAACGCAAATGTATCAGAACCCAGAATCCCCTCAAAGCAAAGACCGAGGTTGGCTATGCTTTTGGCTTGCCGTACTTGCGGTTGGGGAGCTCCACAATAGCAATGGAGGCACCAGCACTGATAATGGCCTTGGATTAGACCGTTCACTGGCACTGCAAGAAAAAGAACCCCCCGGAGCCGATTACTATCACCAATCCGTTGCATTTCTTCAGCAGGTGGCTGAGAATCCTGACGTACAGTACATTGAGACCTTGTGCTTGCTTGCAATCTACGCTTTTTCCATGGACAAAATTAACACAGCTTACATGTACAATGGCCTCGGTTTGCGTGCGGCGCTCTCACTGGGCTTGCACCGCAGCCCGTTAGATTTCCCATCGGAGGGCTCGGATCTCCGTATAGCTGAATGCGAACACCAGAGGCGGGTGTTCTGGACCGTTTATTATCAAGACCTGTATGTTGGTCAATGCTTCAACCTCTCTCAAAGCGAGCTAACTGTTAGCTTAGACTTACTTCCTCAACCACAGGCCGTCCGTGGGGTATCCTGGACGATGAAATCACTATTGAATATGCCGATTCCAGTCGTCTTTCTGGCGACTCAATAATGGAGTTCTTTGATTCTGAAGAATCCAATGCGCACCTAGAACTCATGCGCTTGAGAGGTCAGGCCTATTCCTCGTTATACGGTTACGCAGGCACCGCGATCAACCCCTACTCTCATATTTCTTTGTTCAATTTTGACCTGGGGAATTCTCTATCACAGCAACACCTAGACAAGATGGATGAATTTCATCAAGGCTTGGTCGCTTGGCAGCAGGAGCTTTCGGAAAAGTTGAAGCTCGCTAGGAGTTTGAATGGGTCAATGCTAAACTTAAGCCGGGTGACCGCGAACTTGCATCTCATCTATCACCAGGTCAGCTCTCTTCACCACGCATATTTCTTGTCGTTCTTACTGACTAGGGCTAGACCATTCTTGTGCTCCTCAGGCCTGCTTTGGTCAATATCCACAATGACCGCTTTGAAGCACGAAGTAAGGAGCATTCGGAGACGATCGACGCCAATCCGGGGCCAAAATCGATGTTGCGAGGATTTTATAACGCCTCCCTGGAATCTGCGCGAGAGACGGCGAGCATATTAGAATGGCTGCAATACCAAGGTGCACTGTGTTAGTACCTCAATTTCCCAGTCAGAGAAAATGCTAATCGGATCTATTATATGCAGCCACTTATTCCTATTTTGACGCAAGTTACGCCTTCACTGCTGCCATAGTGCTCCACCTTGCCAAAACTATGCGGTCCTTCGTTTATCGCAACCAGGACGCTCTTCAATTCACAGATGAAGACCAGAATGCCCTCGATACTATATGTTGCATTCTTCGTCAGCAGAGCTTAGCTGGCAATGTACCCGCGAAATATTTCGACAGACAGCTGCGGTTGCTGGAGAACAACCTCCAAGCCCTCCAAACAGCCTTGGATAACCATGTGAGTTTGGATGATCTCAATTTTGATCTCGATTATCTAGGCCCCGAGCTACATTCACTGTCGGATAATGTCGACACATCTCTACCTGCAGGACCATAGTCGACGCTTCTTACATTGTAACATTTCATCATCGTGAATTCTCTGAGGTTTCCCGACTCATACCATTGCCAGATCGAGTGTATGGGACGTGAGAACTTCTCGGGACCTTCCTCGACTGAACTTTGGAATATCTGCCCCCAATCATCTCCACATGAGACTCGGAATTAAGGTAGAGAGGTTGCATCGGTTTTGTTTCTGCGGTCATTGCAGGGCTTTGCATAGCGCGATACACTGCGCGCTTGTTTTGGCGATGAAAATATCCGAAGCACTAGAGCAAGAAAGGGTCCCTGAGAAGCCACGCGAGAAGATAGGATGTCTTGTTAAATTCATGACCGTTGCGCCTTTTGGACTTTCGAGACCTGAGTGGCGACCAGGAAGGTCGCTCAGCGCATGCGGAAATTCATATTCGGAAGAGCCCCAACCCGAGCCTTACTCTTGTGAAAGACCAGGAGTGTCGAAAACCCCCTTGTGCCACCTCCCTCTAACCGGCTTGGCCCCTCGGATCCTGCGGAGGGAATTCGACTTCGCAATGTACAAGACCCTTGGCGAGAATGGCTCTGCAAAAGGGGACACGCGATCCAATCCAATCTCGCCCTTCTTGCGCTCACCGATCTTGTGATTGCGGCAGACAAGCGGGAAACTCAAAAGTATAGCAGCTTACTTGCTCTGACACTACGTTTTGGTCAATATTTGCAGGCATCCCGGGACTATTCATGAGTTCCTATTCTTCGCACTCCTTCGGCACTCAGGATCATTGCGCAAAACACTTCGTTGGTGTCAGTACTCCTCAAACTGAGCTGTGGATAACAATACGGCCGTTTAAAGTGCTCCATGGTTCGATATGATTGCGTCCACGACATCTCAGCGCCATGAGCAACAGCAGGCCGGATGAGTCATTTGGCAATGAAGATCAACCGGACCATCTCAGGCACAAACCGTGTTGCGACGCGGATTCCGACGAGGATGAAAACAACCATGTCCAACCAGCCACATGGGGTTATGCAAATATGGTATTTCCACTGCTGGCAGGCACATTTGGGCCCCTTGCGAATGCCTTCAGTATCTGCGCAATGACAGAAAACTGGACAGTTCAAGTGACCAACACAGAGTACAGGCTTAACATAAAGCATCTGCCTCGGTACGGACTGCTCATAGTTCATACGCTACAGACCGCTAATAGAATGTGCACAGCCTCATCGCTGCCAATGCCGTATCGCTGGTGCTGGCATTGACTGCCAACTTGGCCCTTTTGCTCCACATGGCACGTCGGCTACGTTTTGCCGTTGCCCAGTCCATCACTATACTCGGCTTCTGGTGCGCTTCAATCCTTCTTCTCGGCCCTATCGCCAAAGTCGCATACGACCTTCATTCTGCCCAGGGGCGCAATTATGTCTTGTCGCAGGCCTACTACTACGCTATCTTTGCTGCAGGACTATACCAGCTTATCTCTTACATCCTGTGTGTCACCGTGTACGGCGCGTGCAAGGGACACTACGGTTATGAGTTCAAGCTCACGACGGCTCAACGGACCCTAATGTTGCAAACGATCGTTTTTCTTGCCTATCTATTGCTGTGGGCATTGGTCTACTCCAAAGTTGAAGGATGGACATACCTCGATGCCGTATTCTTTGCCGATTTCACCGCTCTCACTATTGGAATCGGCTCGCCGTTTGTTCCAACAACGCATCTCGGTCGCAGCCTCCTCTTCCCTTTCGCTTTTAGTAGTATTCTCGTGCTCGGCATCGTCGTGGGCTCAATCCGGACGCTGGTGTTGGACCGGACTGAGGTCGACTTGGCCTCATTGATGACCGAAAAGACGCGGCAAAGAGTGCTAAAGAGAATAGCGAAAGCGAGTCAAGCTGCCCAATCAGGCAAAAAGAGAGGCAAGGTCATCGGTCTGTCCGAGGAAATCGCGGCCATTCTGACTCGCAACCCCCGGGCTCATAAGATCGGAGAGATGGAACTGCACCACGCAGAATTCGAGGCGATGCGACGCGTACAACACTTGGCCTCGCTAAAGAAAAGATGGTTCCGCTTGTTCGCCTCTACTCTTGCCTTTGCTCTATTGTGGACCGTCGGAGCCCTCGTCTTTACAAAAACTGAAGAGAGCCAAAACTGGTCGTACTTTGTCGCACTCTACTTCTCTTACACCTCCTTGCTGACGATTGGTTATGGAGACTTCCAACCGACGAGCAACAGCGGTAAACCATGGTTCGTCTTTTGGACGCTGATGGCTGTACCTACATTAACCATTCTTATTTCCAACATGAGTGACACTGTGGTTAAAGTGGCCAAGGAATTCACCATTTGGATCGGAGAGGTCACAATTCTTCCAAGCGAGAATCGTGGTATTATGGATCGATTGAAGCTAGGCCTGTACAAATCGACTCTGGGATTGATTCCCCTTGATCTTAGCTCCGACAGGCCCGCGGATAATCGGGGTGATGATGAGGCCAGGGATATTGAACGATTCCAAGAGCTCAATCCTAGGCTGTTCAAGGTGCGCCGGCAGCAGATCGCCGAGGATCTCACACTATCCAACATGCATGGAAGGGCCGAAGAAAAGACCTCTGGCGATAATATTGGCAGCAACGAAGACTATTATGGGCGGCTCCTCGTCTCGCACATTCGAAAGGTCTGGAACGACGTGAAAGCCACGCCACACAAGAAGTACAGCTATGCTGAATGGGCCTTCTATTTGAGCCTCCTCGGCGAAGGTGAAAATGATAATCGGCATTATCGCCGACCCCAGGCAGAAGGAATCCAGCGCTATCCTAGCCTGAAGGAGAGGTTTGATGCACAGCAGAAAGGACGAGGGAGTCAGGAAAGGCGAACTCCCTCCAAGCCAAGCCATGATCCGGACCAACAGAGTGATACCCAAATCACCAAATGGAGCTGGATGGGACGCGACAGTCCGTTGATGGCAGACAAACCTGAAAGCGAGTGGCTTCTAAACAAGTTGTTGGCTCGTCTCCAAGACGGTCTCAGACAGCACGGGCAAGAATGTCTGAGGAAAGTTGATGGTGACCCACGAACGGAAACAGAGCAGAGAGTGGGTCCATCTTCATCAATAAACCCGAATGCCGCTTGACAAATTCTACACCACGAGTGTGTCACCCAAGTGGTCGACTGTTTCTACCTTGCTGCCTGGTTACAGAGGTAACTAGCCTGCATGAGCGATGTCCACTCTTGAGGTGGGCATTCGACCGTATCAACAGGTCGGTTGTGGAATCTCCCGGACACTGAGTTTCTCAGGAAAGGGGGTCAGGGACAGTGGAAGAACGATTCCAAGCCCAAAATATTATCCCGCCTTGCCGACTTGGATTGGTTTCGAAGCTCGGCGAATAGTTCCACCTCGTATTTTCGCAGGGTCGATGAGTGTCACAGTTTATGGTACGAGGGCCTTCCCCTCACTCCCCCATCGAATTAAATTTCCCAGAAGTTCCCTTGTCAACACGAACACTTCCTTCCGTCCCCGGCCGAAAGACTATTTACTTGCTCACGTGGACGCCAGTATGTCAGAATCGGGAAAATGACGGCACGGATTCGATGGAGAAGGAATCTTTGACAATCCCAACTTGGAGAACACTCTAGCCTCCCGGACTCGGGGTACGCCATACGGTAGGGTGAGCGTCGACGCGTCGTTCTTTCCTACTTTAGACTTTCCAATCCTCCGTCGGTCGCAGAGTCTATCGTTAGCTGGTCAAGCGTGTGACAAGGCGTGAGTCTTGTACAAGGCATTGAAGGGTCAACATGTCAAAGATGGCATGTTGAGTGTATCAAAGGCCTTTCAATTATGTCTCAAAAGAGGTGGGGCTGGGCTCAAAGCGTCGCATTCCTGAGAGATAATTGTGAAAACAGGTGATTGCAATGCGAAGTCCCCTCCAGGAGGTTACCGCTCAGCCTTGTGCAGATATAACACTGCTGTCTGCCCGATGGACGGGGTGAAACGAATTGGCCGGTAGCAGGAATCTTTAAATAGATACGTATTGTTACTAATATGTAGGGAGTCAGACGAGCTTAAACGTTGAGCGTGTGCAGAATACTCCGTACAATACCACTCCAGACGCGCAGAAGGTAACCTAGTAAACCGCATTCAAAAATAAGTGGCACAGCCTGACGAGAGTAGAGTGATTCACTGTTAGATCGAAAGTGCCCTTCATTCACATCAAGTATGTTGGTTACCTTTAGGAATAGCGACCTTCTGTCATTCACCCTATATCGAGTACTGTCAATTATATTCAAAATAGCGGCCGCTCTGACGCTATTGAGCACTCTTCAGATATATATTCCGTGAACAGATTCTGCCACTTATTGAATCCAGCTTGCATAGGTATCTATATTGCTCGCGAACATGCAACCTCTTTACCAAATATTGTTTGATCCTATCCAACCTGATCCTTGGCTGAACCTTTATCTGGGACTTCTGCCCGACGGCCTCACTGGCCTCACCAGCCTCACTAGGCGCCTGTGGCCGGGCTCCGATCTGGCTCCCCAGATATCGCATACACTAGCCTCGCAGCTAGATATTTATTTCAGCTAAGCCTCGCCTATGCCGGTGCGCAAAATCCTTTGTTCCATCGCAAGGAATTTGAGTGAGGAGACTTCTGGTTGAGGCTCGAGCCCCAGGGCTAAATATTGCTCCTGAAAATGATTGTGAAGTCGCGGCAACGATGAGCTCACATCCACCAACAGTTCATCACAGCGCGAAACGAGCATCGCTTTGGCTTGCTGCTCCTGTCTTTTCTAGCAGCCCACAACGAGGCTGGCTGTTCCTGGCTGCCATGTGTAAGCATATCCTCTCAAATCGGCCCCCAAACAACGACTGCACCTATCCAATAATAGGGAACCTACTGCCGGAAGTCCAGAAGAACCATGAAGCTCGTGGCACGTATCTTGACACTTAACTAGCACATGGGCCGCGATATTTAGGTTTTCGTGGCTGGCAACAATGCAGCCTTTGCTGAAACTCGATAACTTTTCACTATATAGTCTCGATAACTCTGGTCTGTATAGGGATTCGATAACTTTTCTCTATCTAGGTGTTTGGCTTGATGTTAATGCTCTAGTAGAGCTGCGAGAAACAAGACGGTAAGACATCACGCCCGTTGGTAGCTTGAATGTCCAGAGAAGAGAGTCTACCACAATTGTGTAGTTAAACAATGCATGCTCATTATCCGTGATGATGGTTGGTGTCCGTGCTGAGCTCCAGATAGCCGACAGAATTCTTCTCTTCCAACGTTGAGACGGGTTAAAGACTCACAGCGCCCCCAGCTCTCATCAGCTACAACAATTCCACTTCTCAATTTCCTCGGCCGCGACTTCCTCGGAAACCCGGACCACGAGCTGATTGTGAGTAATGTTGCCAGATTCCATCCTCAGACCTTTCACGGTAGTGTGCTCTCCCACCGCGCTACCCTCTTCCCCCTTGTCCTGTCCCTCTGGTCGGAAGGACAGCTTCTCCCAATGGTCGAGCTCTTCTGCCGCCTCCGCCGCCGCCGCCGCCGCCGCCACAACCGAATACATGGGATCGCAGCTCGGCTAAAGCCTTGTTGACCCTAGTCAGGCAGCTTGTAGGCAGGGCTGCAACGTTTGGATTCGCCATCGTGAGGATCGAGGCGCTTGTATTAGATAGGTACGCTTACCGAAACGCTCCACAGGTGATCATTAGTGGTGAATTAAAATACTGATGATATTGAAGACACGCTCTTCGTGAAGGGGATTTCGCCGATCAATGTGGGCTGCCAATCTACTATTAGTCAGTGATTGGTATCATGAAGCGCAGGAAATGAGATATTTGGTTGAAGAAGTCAGTATGTAACTTAATGAAGGGCAATGTATTATCCACGTACAAATGCACTGTTAAGATGGAAGTGCCGATAGCTTTATCTCTGTGCGTTGTTCGTGCATTTCCGTAACCCGTGCAATGGCTTTCTCGGGTAAGCTGAGACAGCGTACGTCGTAACCAGCGACGAGATCCCGACTGCACTCGAGATATCGGGTTCGGAACTCAATCCACAGAGTTCTGTCTGAGGATTCTGCGTTAATTGCAGACCGAGGGAAGCATGGGCCGTTCCTCAGAAACGCACGAGCGGCTTGCTTGATGCCGGCGGCATCCAAGTTTAGCGGCTTGCAGCAGTCAAAGTCCAGGACCCATAGCGAATGAGTTCCCAAGATGCCGTGAGTGTATTTGTTATGGGCGTTTCCTGTTCGCGTTCGAAACCCTCCCAGTACGAAATGTCATGGGTGTCGGTCTTCGCCGTCCAGTGCATCATGGCGAGTGTCTCAGCCATCGCATGTGCATACTTCATAATCGGAAGCTCGAGGTCCTCTGCCTGGTTGAGATGTAAGTGATAATTGTGTAGGGAGAAGAAGTTTCGCCAGACCTCGTTCTAGATCTTTCGCCGGCCCAAGTAGAGGCGTACTGAGCAGTCTCGGTCGGCGTCGTTGGCCTTGATAGTGGTAATCGACGCGAGTGGACAGTATAGGTCAATGAGACGTTCCCTGACTTCTTGCGGTAGTGGTGGTATGCGTTCAGAGCATAGTACGTTGCAGGTCGTGTAGCGCGTCGGAAAGCTAGGGAGATTCATGTTCCACCAGCTATCGTCGTTCTTCACAAAATGCGGCCATTGTGGGACGCACACGCTGATCTTCGCCTGTGAGGCCGTCTCGAGCACGAGTTTGTGCATGTTGTAATCGTTGAGAAGAGACTGCCCTGGACCACCATCCTCTCTTTTCGTCGCCACCATGCCTCCTTCAGCAGCCCATACAGTTCGACAGAAACCCTGGCCTATGCAGCGGAACTGTCTTGATGAATGATGGAGGAAGTATGAAATATTGTGACTTTGGTTGGTAGAATGTGAATGTCTCTATCGAGTGAGAAGGACGGGGTTGCCTTTATAAATACCTGCAATTTCTGAAGGTCCAAGAAATGGAGCCGACTACCTAATATGGTTCAACAATATGTAAGGTCTGGTTGGGAGGTTTTAACTGGCTTCCACGATTTCTGGAAAGGCAAGAAAGGTCTCCAATTCAAGCATTTGCATAGCCCCGCTAGAACCAATCATGTCAAGATTTAATTTCTCTACTACTAACCCATGGAGTACACGGCGATCGTTGTGAACAAGGCAGAGGGGGCTGCGCATATCAGGTCACGTGGGGAAGCACAGGGCTTTACTTTATCCTGGGTACGTAAATAGGCCGAAAATAGTACTGGGTGTAGTGAGGGAAGCTATTACGAGAATGCGACAGCCTGACCCTGCTCACAGGCACTAGGGGCTGGAACCTCAACAGGCAGACCAGGTCAAACGCCGGGGATCTGCCGAACCTCAACAGGCAGAGCATGAACACGTTGAAACCTGTCGCTCCGTCGACCCTTCAATCGCGGGTCTGACACCACAAATTCTCGGCCTCGACTCAGCAGATTTCACAAGTATCTTAGGGACATGAATCATCTGCCCGTACCAGAGAACAGGCAACGCCCTCCAAGTCGAGTCCTGTTTTTTGGATACTACGACATCCCATTCCTGGGCCAAGTCGCCGAACCTAACGACCACTTTTACGCCTACGCAGAAACGCATGGTCTCGCGGATCGAGATGAAAAGCATACACCAAACTTGTCTGGGCTCCAGGAATTGGAGGACGCTGACATGTACTTTGCTCGAGTACAGGCATGGCTCTACTTTGGACTAATCGCCGACACTTTCGGTGCCAGAACATGTGTACAGGACTTCATCGTCACCAACCCTTCCACGAGTGAGCAAATTATTAACTCGACCAAGCTGAAGCTATACATGTCGCAATGGCGTGTTCAGGTGGCTAAGGTGCGAGAGGAAGCCAAAGACGAACGGATTCAGCGCGTGAAAGATTCAACCACCGCAGGTTGGAAATTCTGCGACCAACTCGATCATTATGGGGTTCCGATCACTGAGGTGCACCAGCTCATCGTTTTCTCCATAAGGATTCTGATTTGTTCTCTCTGGGATATGCTATGGGCGAGCGATATGGACGGTGCACATTTGAACGACAAATTCAAGATCTCGGTTGATATCATCCGGTGGCCGCATTTACCAGCATCCTACCGACCTCTCGCGCTGCTTATGGTCGAGTACAACTGGTGCTTCCACGAGATCTTGAGACTGCTGGATACTTATAGTCTCACTACTGTGTGGTCAATCACATGCCTGCAGGGGAGGGATGCATCACAACTCGACCATGGCCGTTGTGCCGATGCTTCTAAATGCGTGGCACGCGACGTCGACCCTGCCAACCATCAAGCTCGGCACTTGACACAGGACTGCAAGTGCGAAGCAATAGGCCCAGATATCGATGAAGTCAGCAAAATCCTCCAAGCTGGTGGCATTCCCCTAGTCAGGTGCACAGTCCACGATGACAACAGGGTGAGCTTGAAAGTTATTCCTGCCAAGGGCAGCAAGCGCCATATTGCATTCAGCCACGTCTGGGCTGATGGTATCGTCATTCCTATGCAAAACAAAGTCTTTCGATGTCAATTCCTCAAGCTCGCCTTCTATCTTCGGAGAGCCCGTCCGCGAATACAGGCGGAGAGATTATTTTATCTGCCTTTCGCTCCCTTTCTGGCTCGCAATGTCTTCAAGGGACCGAAGTCATTCGATATCTGGCTTGATGTATTCTGCATACCATCGGCTGTGCGTCCGGAATTTCAAGAGCTCCGTAAACAGGCAATATCACGCATCTACCCTGTGTTCGCAGGCGCCGAAGCTGTTTTAGTTGTCGACAAAGCATTGACAGAAATCAAAAATACTGATATGTCGACCACGGAGACAATGGCAAGGGTAGCGTCCTCTGGCTGGATGACGCGTTGTTGGACATTCTCTGAGGCATCACTGGCCCAACAGTCAATTATGCTTTTCTGCATCGGCGACAGACTCATTGAGTATGATGATTTCCAACGTTCCACGAAAGCTTTCAAGAAGCTCGATCTTCCTTCCAGAAGCCTCTTGAGCGACTTGTTGCGGGCTGCATTCTATCCGTTCCATATCGCATGGCTTGCTTCACAACCCGTGGTTTCAGAATACGTCGGGTTCGCCTTCGTGTGGAACGCATTGACAGCTCGGTCAACGTCATGGCCAGATGATGCGTGGGGTATTATGGCTACTCTGCTTGGATATAGCGGCAAAGAGATCATGAGTCTACCGGAGCGCGATCGACTCCCTGCGATGATGCGCGATCTACCCAAAGTGCCGGCGTCTTTCTTGTTTCGCGATCTCCCACGATCAACCTCAGTTCCGGCACATATGCGATGGATTCCTACCCAGGTTCAAGGACTAATACGAGACGCAGATGGAACGTTTGCTTTTGCCGAAGGCGGGATCGTATTTCCTCCGAATCTCAAGCTCAAATTCATCCTACCGGTAAATGGCCCACTTCCACATACATTTTCATTCGAACTAGCTCACGAAGACTGGCAACGAAGACAACTATCGATCAGTTTCGAAGTTAGTATTCATGACATCAGTGCCCTTACACAGCACGTGAGAGGCACCGCTCAGATCTGCATCCTCCTACCCCAGACCGAAGGTCAATCGGGCGATAGCGAAACAGAGTACATCAGCGGCAATGGCTGCAGCCTCCTTGTCAGGCAAATCCGGCCAGATTCGATCATCGAAGCCGACTTCCTCTCTTCATTATCCTACAAATTCACCCGACAGAAACAGCAAAGTCACTTTCAAGCCAGCATGGCAGGCCCGATTGTGGTAATCTCCTGCAACCGCGAACAGTGGTACCAACCCAAGATGCGAAGGAAGAAACACTCATTACCCCCATGGACCATGACGAGGATTCTCTACTTCGGCGTGCCTGCAGTGTTAATCTTGATCATGGCGGCCACGATGATTCCGCTGTGGGTGTGGTATAGGGCGACAGGCCAATCATCCCACACGCGAGATATCCTCTTCTACTCAACATGCGGGTTTGCTCTTTTTATCGTTGCCGTGCAGTTTGCGGTAATTTTCCACGAGAAGATCTTGATTGGGAATTGGATCGATAGTTTTGAGGACAGGGAAGGATCGAAATCCCCGTGGTGGAGGAGGATCATGCCGCTCTTCTGATGGCTTGAGGCAGGCGAACCGCTCTCATCTGCAAGCATTCACGGTCAGGCATCATCTCGCAATGATCGCCTGCGGCTTGAGAGGCTGGTTACGGTGGGGGGAGAATGATACAACTCGCAAAAGCGAAAGACCGCATCAGAAATTCCTAAACCTATTGTTTAAGTGCATGTTGAGCCTGCTTTAAAAATATGTGCCGCAGTCTGCTTCGCAATACGTACCCCAAGACTGCTCAATAACGTCCAAGCGATTGCTGTATCGAAAATAATTGACAGTATACGATGAACAACAGAGGGTCTCTATTTCCAAGGTAAACGGAGTGTTCATCATCAACGAAGGCTCTCCGCATTCTAATACGCAAGAACTTTCAGTGTGCCACTTATCTTTCAGTTCGGCTTACAATGTATTACTTAATTATAATTTATTGGTCGTTTTCCATGGCGAGCACCAGGCCGGCAGCCCCAGCATAGTGGTCCTCAACCAAATGAGAAGGCACATCCTGGTCCTATGGCTGAGAAATATGCCATCCATAGCAGGTTGAGATGGGCAGCTACTGCCACAGAATTCAAGAATGCGGGCAGACTCACTGGGCAGTGTTTCTAGGCTGTTTCGTGGCCGCTGACCTTGGCCCCCTTTCCCGCCAGACAGTCCTTGTTCTTATACATTAGTTTCTTCTTCCAATCCTTCAGGGCTCCTGAGTTCCTCGAAACTACAAGTCAAACCAGTCCATCGTAGCACATTGCACCCAATAATTGGCTGTTTTGACGAGCAATGACTATATTAGACTGGTTGGATGACTCTCACAGCCCTACTCTTTGGATCGTCGCAATCTATCCGTCCTCGAACGAAACTAAGCCCACTATCAACAGGTTTGAAAATCGAGTCAGATCTCCCAAACACGGACCTGTAAGGCACGAGAGCATTCCTCTCTCTCCTTCCCGCCATAATCTGTACAAAATCACCAAAGGTGCTCTATTGTTTGGTCTCCAGCTACTTCTGGCACATCGACTGGGAGTTCTCGCCTTGGGGAGAGTTCGCGAAATGCACCGCCTGAGAGACAAATTCATGGCATTACTGGCCATGACCGTGCTCACTATTGTACTGTTGAGGTCCGTTGGAACTCTAGCAGGAACAAGGGATTTAGCACTCCTCAGGTATCAGACAAATGATGGAACGCAGCCATCAACGAGGGCATCGGATCCCTACCAGAAGTTCTTCTTCTTCTCCTTTCTCTCCTTGCTATTGCCATGGTTGAGAAGTCTTTCCAGTCTCAGAGGTTAATGTATCTAGATACCAGAAGAGAGAGTTACTTACACGGGAAGTGAATATCAACAAAGGGAAGAGAATGTCCTCTGTCTCAGAACTATCCTACAATAAACTTGTATCATCCCTGAGAACTGTTCTCAAAGAAATTATTGGAAGAGGGGGGAAGCGTGCTGGGAAGGCGAGGAGAAACAGATTGGCTATTGTGAGGCAATTATATTGAAATCTAGACTATTTTCAAAATATTAGAATTTGTGGACTGGAATTCAGATGGTCAAGGGCCGCTGCGATCGATTTGTCTACACGACAGTCGAGCTACATCTTCATCGAGGCACGTCGATCGACCCTACTAGCACCAAAGCCCTGATGACCAGACCCGATAAAGCGCGATATAAACTCTTTGGGAAATGCGTTACTATAGTTGACCGGCTCCCACGGAGTGAGGACTCCAACTCTATTAAATTCGAAACTGCCTTGGGGTAAGTTCCCTGAGGCATACGATGGACTCGTTGCCAATGCGGAACGAATATTTAGGTTTATGTCCATCATCTCCTTCTCGTCCGGTGTCTTTGTGCCCAACAAGGGGTCGAGGGAAGCAATTGACTGAAGTATTTCCGATGTTTTGTCCAGGGTTTCAATTTGACGTCGCATAGCCTGAAATCGACACCGTGTCTAGTGTCGGTAAGCATGGCGAACGCACAGCCCTTGCCGCTGTACTTAAATATGCCCAAACCGTACGCGCTCACTGAAAGATGAAAAGAGCGGGTCCTGAGCTATTGAGCGTCAGACACGTAGTAGAGCCGTGCTAGGGGGCCTCCGCCGTGCTGGAAGTGGACAGTATTCTAGTCATCCAGAAGACTAGCAATATCGTGCAGAAAACCCTGGAGTTGATGAAAGAAGTAAACTTCTCATTCGATGTGCCTTCGGCCAACTTAGAAGGCAGTTCGACATGCAGTACGCTTCAGGAGGCACAAGGGCGGAGGGACAATGGGAGACAGGGGGACAGAGTAGGTTGACTGACGGTCAACGCAGCATAAAGGTATTCCAATGTGCAGATATCGAACCCGTGGACACCCCCCATGCTGAGAGAAGGCTGTGGTTCAATTGTCTGAACCGCTTCGTCGTCATGACCGCCGATGATTGACATGGAATTTTTGCACTTTTGGAACTCGCTGACAACGAATAGGGTGTCATATCGGAGGGAGTGGGAAAGCCAAAGACGGCACTGGACTCTTGATGCCTTGTGAAGGCAAATACTGTGAAGCCTTTCGTCAGAAGATTGCGAACCTCGAGACGGTCGATTGAGAGCCAACGATTTTTGCCTCAGCGTACCCCATGGCGGTCGAGCAGGAATTGAACGCCCTTCACAATAATCGATTTGGCGTTTTCAATCTTCGCGCAACGAACACCTTTAACTTTGAGATAGGTCGCCACTGCAACAGACGGGATGTTTGCTATCACACCAAACCTAGGGCAGCAGATACAGCAAAATCGCGGTCTCCACTGAAACCCAGTTCTTCCACGACAGATAACTGACCTTGTGCGAGCATGCCAGTCTGATCGAAGACAGCATAGGAGATATATCGTGCGCCTGAACGGTAATTGCCGGCTTGAACATGACACCATGTTTTGCCGCGACCCCTCCAGCAGTTAAAATGACCATCTGAACGGCGAGGCCCGGTGCATAAGGATTCTCCTGTCATTATGGACCCGTCGACTTCACAAGAGCCCGATACAAGACGACACAGTCTGTTGGAATCCGAGAGTCATCCGTGACTTTGGAGGTTGATCGCCATACTGAACCAGTCATGTGTTGATTGGATTATTATGAAGACCATCGGCGGTGTAGAGGTTTGCCGTGCTGGCCTGCAGAGACCTATGGATACTGTCTGGACGGTCCCTTATCTCGCAAATGGACCCACCACTCGTCCTAGCACAATTAAAACGACTAACAGGGAGATGGTTTGGAAGTACTGTTCAGCTGGGAGTGGGTGCGCAGCCACTATCAATGCAAGGAGATAACTGAGAAGATATATGCCGTGGAGGTGCTGGGGACGATTAGTAAATCGATCTCGGCCACTCGAGCCATCAAGCACTGGGATGGAATGTATCAGGGACCTACGCAACGCAGTAGGTACAAAGGAATTGGAGTAGCTGAATGCCTTGTTCTATTCACGTAGTCCTATTGACAACGACTCAACGCTTAAGAGAAAGGAAGAGTTCTCTCTCAGCCGGTTCGGGTGAGAGAAGACTCTTATAGCTTCCCCTCTTTCTGTCACGTGAAAAGGGTAAGGTAGCGTTAACCGATAGCCTTGTGCTTCAACCATCCTTTGCCTTATCCTTTTCTTTCTATACCGTCCACCCGATTCGGGTGGAGGGCGTAGAGTACTTGGGGACAACGGTGGGCTCGTGACAGAATGGTTCGACTACGACAAGTTGTACAGTTGTCGCTAGCGCCAATGAGGCACTTCTGTCGGCGATAGGATGATGGGGCGTGTTCTCTAGATCCCGTCTCGACCCATTCGAGGATAACATCTGCGTCGTATATAAGGTACCCCAGCAGATTGACTATTGAAGTAAAACATTCCACCGTCTAACTCGACAGCCAGAAGCTCTGGTGTAATAAAATTGTATATATCCACCCGGAAAAAGGAAAAACTTGAAGGCTACAGACCAGAATCGATCTGCTCCACAACATTGTGGCCACTGTACGCTGCCCAGTCGCGGCAAGTTTGGGCCATGATGGACGGAATCTGTCGGTTTCGCATGACCAGGTCTGGCCGCTCCTACCGACCAAAAAGTCAGATTTGCAAGGTATTTCTGAAGCAAAGATATACATACCATGATATTAACATAAAGTCCGTCGCTAACGTGCCACGCGACGTGGCAATGAAGTGGCCACACGCCGGGGTTATCAGCCTGAAAGTCGAGAACGATGTATGACATTCCCGTCTCCGTGGGGATGCCGCGTTCGAGCATCTGGGTATCTCTGCGCTGCGGATTATGCGGCCTTGTCACAGTGCCGTTCCATTCGCCCGTGCCTTGTGCCACAACCCAGAAGTTGTGCCCATGAAGGTGCATGGGATGGGCCAGAGGGATGAGACCGCGGATGATTAGACGTATGGATGTGTTGCTGTGGAAGTTGTACACGTTCCATTGCGGGTCATACGGGTACGATGTATTGCCTAGCTTCGTGAGAAGGAGAAGAGGGTGGCTGGAAACCAATGTCAGCCGGTGAACGCAGATGGAGCTTAAATTGTTAGGGTGGTTCTCACTCATAATTTGCCCTGAATGACTCGTTATTCATCTTCCAGACTTGTGCCTGGGTGGCGTTCGGTCCGAAATCCACATCGATAGTCTGTGTGAAGGCGGGCGTCTGTGGCGGCGCATACTGGAAGAACGGCTCTGTTAGTTCCAGCGGATCATTTGCGCAGTTTGTGTCGTTCCATTTTGTAGCAACAGAAGTCGGCGTTGCTGATGTGTCTGCCTCTTCGTAGTATATTGCCGCAAGTGCACGAGACTGGTTGGTGTGGCTACATAGCGTACTGATATCGCTCCTCATCCAAACAGCGTCTGTGGGCTTCCCGGTGCCTTCGACGATAATGTCTGTTCTCTGGCCCACTCCTAGAGTGATGACATCTGCTTTGTATGGTTTCACCGGAACGAAGTCATTGGCGATTACTGTCATAGTATGACTGTCGATAGTGAATTTCTGGAGACCCTCGGCACCAGCGTTGATGAGCCGTAAGCGGTGTTTCTTGCCAGATTGGAACTTGAATTTAGAAAGTCCGGCATTGGGCGTGCAGTTGTACCCTTTGGCCAGAGAACAATCATAATTCATCTTACCATTGATCAAGTTGTTGTCTGAGTTCGGGATATCTGATTTTCCAGTAATCGCTTCGACGATTTTGAAGTATTCGCTGTGGAAATGATCGGACTGGGATAGTCAGTAATATGGCAATGGGAGGGGAGCTTTGGATGTTCCCACCAGCACTACCGGACCAACATCTACATCATAACCGACGTGAGAGGGTCCATAGATGACCATCGGACCGAATAAACCATCCGCGTATTGTGCACTGTAATGAGAATGATACCAGCTTGACCCGTACGAGTCTGCCTTGAATGAGTACGTAAAGGTCGAGTTGGGAGCAACCGGGCATTGCGAAACTATGCAGGAGGTCACTATTGCTGAAGCACGAGTCCGGGTGACTATTGAGCGACATACCGGATGGCACACCATCAAACCATGGTGTTTCTTTCTGCAACAGACCATGCCAATGCAGAGATGTGCCTTCCTCTGGACCAGTGATTTTGTTCTCAACAGTCACCTGTGAGTGTGAGCTATCTTGTGAATGAATTCCATTCTTCTGACACACTCACTTGTATTGTATCTCCCCAATTAGCCTCAATGAGAGGTCCAGGAAACTGACCATTGATGAGGATTCCCCATTTTTGGACTCCATCCGGGGCAACCCAGCCTCTCGATAGCACAAAGTGATAACTTCGAATAAATCCAGTGTTTGGCACTTCAACGTATGGATTCGTTTCATTGACGGACGCCTGGCCCCATGGATATTTGTGCGGCAGTGGCTGCAACAGTGTTAGACTGAATGATTCTCCTGAATTCGTATACTTACATTGTTCTCTAGGAATGGAGGAAGGTAAGGAGCGTTCAGTGTCCCGAGATGGCTACCACCTGCATGACGATGTGATGAGCAGTTTCCAGTATAACCAAATGTGGCATATCCTACCATTCGTTACTTTCTGAGACAGGTTGGCCGTCAAGTTTGAGGCTGCAAGAATCGAGTTCAGAAACTTCATGCTGCTGGACGAGAAGGAAGGAAATGGACGAGAAGAGAGCGTGAAATGAAGTTGGTGTCTGATCACTGATTGTTTGACAAGTTTTAACGGCTCAGCAGTGTTCTTATACACCTCACCATCACTGAAAACCATTGAGCCAGTCAGGGGTTAACTTGTCTAAAATGTCACCGTAAGATGGCCAAATCCTCCGCAAAGATTTCCCTTTTGGTACTCGTTCAGCGTATGGTAGTGGCTGCTACCAGGATCGATTTATTTTTGCCCGGTGGCATATGACTAAAGAGACCCAAAGATCGGCTAATCCAAATTTCCCTAGTTTGAAGTAGAGAGACTAGACGATACATGAGGAAGTCGGGACGATCCTAGGGAAGGGGAGTATATGATTATTCTGACCGGGACGACTACGTACATAAAGGGTAAGCTGCTTGGAACAAATCCATGAGACCTCTCTGATCTCCCCAACTCGAGATCATATCTTGTGCTCGTTCTCTGATGTCCTCAGAAGGAGGCATGAGGCTCGCAATCTTCAAGGGAAATGACATGTTGAATGAACCCCCCGAGTGTATTCCGGCTTCCTTATGGTAAGATGCACACTTCAGAATCATCTCTGCATGCTCTTCCATCCTTGACGTCTCCGTCATGCTCACCGACGCGACCACACTATGATAATTCAAGCAAATTAGACATGCTGAATGAAAAAATGCCACAAAACTGGCCTGAAAAGCTGTGGTCAAGCGTTCGATATCGTATAATTCCGAAAACAAATCTAGGCGCAGCAATAGTGAATCCGTCTGCTCCAGGATCTGCCTCCTCAGATCGGCGGACTCTCTCAGCGATTTATCCTTCTTCCATTTATGCACCTTGAAAGAACAAGAAGGTAGTTGTACAAGAATGTCGACAAGGTCGTCTAGGTATGACTTCTGGCAGGCCACGAAAGGCAAATTATGCCACTCGGGCTGATCGAAGGGCGAAGGCCTACAAGTTGTCATACCCACGACTACCTAATGCACGTTAGCGGATTTCGAGATCATGGCAGAATTTCTGACATACCGAGGCCAGTCTTAAAGACCGGAAAAGTTGATTGGCCAATCCCCTTTGGCAGGCAATGGGGCCCTTCAGGAGCAACATCCTTATTGCAGCAGAGAAATGGTGCACCCATCCGTCTGGGGTAGTGGACGCTGTGGATTCAAAGACGGCCAGAAGGCAAGTCGCCGCGATCGATGCCAGGGACGACGAATTCGGCGACTTTTGCACCCCTGTTGCATCGATTCGACAGCTGTCCTTTTGAAGTTGAAGGCATTTCGCATAACATTTACGTGCTTGAAATGCAATGGTTGTACTCTTGATCAGGCGCCCGTAGAGTGCCATGGATGTCGCACGGCTGGAGTAGGTGATTACCGGATTCTCCCATGAAGCCAGCATCCGGGGTAAGTTAGGTATCCACATGTGCAAACCAGCTCTTTGCCCTTCCGGACAACTGTATGATACAATGAGATTTGATAGGTAGAGTTGTTCGAAAAGAGGAGCGGCATTCGGGGTATAGGTTGTAGGCAGACTGAACTGAAACATGATGTGGTCCGAGTCACGGCCAGTTGAATCACGGCATGGCTCAGATGCCTCAAGCGTTGACCTGTTATTTCCGGGGATAGCGCCAGCCATGTTCACCTGGCGAGCAATGGGCTCTGGAGATCTATTCCTCTCAATGGATCTGGCCGATGTGGAATCACTTTCCAGTGAATAAAACTCGGCGGTTGTCGACGCCCAGCGTAAAGGAATTTTGGTAACGCTTTGTGCATGGACTGCCTTTGTCCGCTTGATTTCTGTACTTCTCTTGATCTTGTTGCTCATATCGATGAACACAGGACCAAGTCTTGGACCAGAACATTCAAGGTTGGCGTTGGAGCATTCTCTGCATATCGGAGCATTTTCATCGCACTATTCAAACAAATTAGGCTCTGGTTGACCGCTTGCCTCAGGAGATATAAGATGGATTGTTACCTTGATTTTCCGTTTAAGGCAATTTTTGCATCCCCTACTCCGTCCTGCGGTGCGACCCATCGTCGGCAAATGTATCGCAGATTGAACCTATTTCATTCGGCGATCTCACTGTTTGTCGGTTTCACACTGTTCTTCTGTACCAGCGGCCGCTGAGAATATCGAAATGGCTCTTCCGAAGGTTGTACAGTAGGTGGTATGTAAGCCGAATGTTGATGGGCCGGGTTGAGAAGTGAATCTGTGAACTTCGCATTTCTGAAGGCTGGAGTCGGTTGGTCAGAAACATCTCTTTGCATACTTGATAGGACACTGCGGCAGCCTCTAGTTACTACGCATGAAAACCTCATTATTCAGTCGCAATCAAACTTAAGAGCTGGATCTACATTCCCAGGAAGAGCTGATCACGGAACCAGGGGCCAGGATGACGATGTAACAAGAGCGTCGTCCGTCGTTGAGTGCTTACTCCATTACGTAAGGTGGTATTAACGAAGCGACAAGGCTGAGCGGGTGGCCTGTAAAAGTCCAGATACAACCCTGGACTGCCGATCACCGTTGTTAGCCCAACCAGCCATTGATACGTCCGTATCTCCCGAGAATTTAACTGCTGCAGGTTTGATGATTAGCGGTCTGGCTGATCTACCAGGAGCTCTGTCGTCCAGTTTGTATGATTTCCCCTAGAATTGGACACAGGTTTCCGCAAAGATTTCCATATCAGGCCATAGCGCTTCCACGCTTCGTTCAGCTTTCCCAAACTATCTTCCCATTCCCGTCATGTACTACTCGCTGGGATGGCGGCAATTGCCCACCACCATTGCACTCCTGTCCCTCATCCTTCATCCTTCTCGGAGATTCCTATGAAACGGATGAATGCGCTCACCAAAGCGCGACATCATCCCGAAAGGGAGTCTTTCAATCCACCTTCTACAGCAGTAGGCCACATTCATCAGACTAGGGAGTAGCCGTGACTCGTATCTCTTGACAGGCTGAAGTCGAAAGTCCCACATTCCCGACGCACCAAGAGAATCCAACAGGACCAACGGAAACGTCAGGATGAAGTTCTGCGCGTTTTGAAGTTCCATTACTTAAAGGGCTATACCCTCCGTTGGCCGCCCTTATCATTATTTGGAACTCCTAGTCATCAGCAAGCCGCAGATAGCCAGGTCCTTTTTATCTTCTCCGTGGACCGTCCAGAACATTCGCAACATGGACGACGAATGCACACATGTTAGCTCTGGCTGCCCTTCTGATGGCTCCAGTCTCGGCTATGCGCCAAACCTCCCCGTCACCATTGTTTTCCTCATCCTGTTCGGAATAGCGCTATTGTGCAATATTATCCAAGGATCAAAGTACAAAACTTGGACGTTCATGGCCATGATGTGTCTCGGGTCGCAGTCTGAAGTGATTGGATACATTGGCAGAATATTCATGCATTACAATCCTTACCGGTTGAGCACGTCAGTTTACCTGCCCCCAGGTTACCAGTTGCCAAGCTGAATGCGAACCGCAGATTCCTCGTGCAAATTATCTGTCTTACTAGCGGACCAGCCTTTTACTCTGCCGCATTATACCTCTGTCTTTCACGAATGTGAGCAGGGCTCAAGCCCGTCGCAGAATTGAAGAGTCGCTAACCGGGTGGAAGTATCATCGTTTACGGAGAGAACTTGTCTCGTATATCCGCCAAAATGTACACGCGATTCTTCATCTTCTGCGACCTCATTTCCCTCTCGCTTCAAGGAGGGGGGGGAGGCGTGGCGGCTTCAGCCACAAAGCCGAGTACCATGTCCATAGGCAACAAACTCATGCTAGCTGGGTTGATTTTCCAGATTGTGTCCCTTGGCTTCTTTGCAGCAGCCTGTGCCGACTTTGCGATACGTGTCAGGAAATACCCGAACCGAAAGAACCCTATATTTTTAAAGACAAGGATGGGGACGGGCTTCCGAGCGTTTCTTTTGGCAGTAGCCCTGGTCTTTGTGACAATCTTCACCCGATGCATTTACAGAGTTGTTGAACTTGGTTCGGGATGGGACAGTGCTCTGATGAGAAAGGAGGTCCCATTCATCATCCTCGAGTCCGGGTAAGTGTGGGTGCTCTGCTGCTACTTGGACCTAATTATTGACGGTACTATCAATAGCATGATTACTATTGCCGTCTTCTGTTTTGTGGTCGCCCACCCTGGGTTCGCTTTCGGTGATGATTTCAACACCATCAAGTACATGGTCCTAACCAAGGGAGGAGGCGAAGAGGCAGGATTCAGGAGGGAGAACCGATCCACTATCGAGCTCACCTGGGGCCAAGACCATGAAAACACTGTTGGTGCCTCAATGATTTAACCCGCTGGGCTCGGAAGGGCGCTTGAGAACGTGGAATACATAAAGGCGATGTATGGAAAGAGCGTTGCATGTTCTGCACAATGAATGAAGATCGAAGGTTGGCATAGTTGCTGGCTTTGTAAATCCGTATTGTCTGCTGTACGTGGAACCAGGAGTTGTGGGCTTGACAAGTTGTAGCGATTAGACGAGCATTTAAATTAGCAGTTCCATCTTCTGGCTATAGATCGGTAAAAGCAATCTCACAAGCCTTCAGCAGCTCCTGTATTCTACCGGCGAATAAGGCGGGATCGACACATTGAGACAGGTCCGAAACGCTGTTCGTGAAGGCATAAGTACTCGAGTTGCTGACTCTCAACAGCTGTCGGTCTTACTGACTAGTGGTGCCGCGCCTCCTATACTACCAGATTGAGCTGCCCACTTAATTACGTTTGAAGCTGCCAAATTGGGAAAACTTTGCGGAAGGATCCCTTCTCTACGTCCGCAAAAGGAGTCGAAGCACGAGCTTATCCAAGATGAAACTGAAGCATACTGAGTATATAATGGTGAACTAGACATTTTCTATTTCCTTCTTGCTCTTGCATTCTGCAGAAAGTCAAGAACACAATCTTCACATCATCTTCAAGTCGAAAAACGTTCAACGCCAAACTCGACTGTGCTGTGGGTCTTCTACGATCTGCGTTATAGTCGGTGGTGGAGTCTACCTGGCCAAACATCTGAAGTATGCTACAACTCATCCCCAGAATCCCCCACCCGACTTCGCCAAAGCCCAGATACGCTGACACGGCCCAGCGGGAAGGAGGAGCGGAATGGGCGTTCCACCAAGCAAGGGGGAAGTCAGCAAGTCTTCACGATGCCCACCACGCAGCCGGCAGGTGGTTGGGTGCCTGTATACGGTCAAGCCGCAACTGCAAGCAGTCCGGGCTGGCAGCCGCATATGAACGGGCAAGGCGGCGTCGTTGCCACAGAGGAAAACAAACAGGCTTTGAGCTTGGAGAAGAACGACGGTTCCAGGGCCCCGAAAGGTGCATAGAGAAAGGACGTGCAAGGATAAGACGTGAAGCAATAAGCTATAACGTGGTTATTTTTCGTTGGGGACCAATCTATGATGTATTTCGTTAGCTGTTGAGAAGTCCTCGCGTTCGGAAGCACTCGGTACCTTGATTTATAAGACCTAAGCTATTCTCTTTGTGATCAATTGTCAAAGTGGTGCCTCAGAGTGCCTTTCTAAGGTTGATGTGCACTTATGGTGTGTCAGTCCCGTGGATTTGGACCTTTGATAGCCAAGCATTTATTGGACCAAAAGCTTGTGATGAATGAAGAGGAAAACGACGCGAGGAGTGCTCAGGAAGTGCAGAGTGACCAGAGGGCGAGCAAAGCGACATGTGGTCTAGTCACAAGGAGACATTCAGGTACAAGTATTTTCGCGCGAGACAACCCGTAGCGCGCCAGGGAAGGGAGAAAACAGTAATGGCCGGTTGGTGGCATAATGCCTTTGTTGTTTTCTGTCTTGTGTTTGTCTGAAAAGTAAGTCGAGAAACTCAGAGTGACTCGACTATCAGCTTGCTAACAGGAAAGAGAAAGAGGGGTGCCAAAGCACATCCAGGCTAGCACTCAAATAACATAATGCTCTCATGTGGTAGAGCCATGTGACACAACCAAGCGCCTACTTATACCAAGTACATAGCCTGTACTCGGTACAGGTAGGGTGGGTGCAAGAGGGTGAATCCAAAAGGGGCAAGGCTGAAAGATGCGTCTCCACGTGATTCCTGAGCAGTTCGCAAGGCTGTGGCTGACACCATGGCCTTGGCCCAACTACCCGTCAACCGGTTTTCGGCAGTGGGATGAGCCGACTACTTGAATCCCTTCCTGAATGCAACAACCTTCTTTTCCCGCATACTGCTTCGTTCTCGATCCTGGAAACTGGGATTAGTCCTCTGACTGGGCGCTGTCGCCGCGACTGGAAAAGGCTGAATTAAATCCCTATTCCAATGATTTGAAGGGTCACTGCCTCCCGCATGAGCGGGGAGACACATTGACACCATGGTCTCAGTTGAAGCGACAGCAGCACAGGCAGCTTCTGCTTTCGCCCATGGGCCGATGACCTCTGCCTCACCTGCATTACTGAATCTGACGAGCCTCAAAGCCACAGCAGCGAATGTGACATCCGCCTTCTCCCTTCCGTTCAGCATACACCCGATCTTCCGCTTCCCTCTCCGACTTACCTCGCGGATCGATCGCACCCTCCTCCACATATGGAGCCGATTCATTCTCGAAGGACTTGGTACCAATAGTCTGACAAGAGCTGGGACGGCCACCGGCGCCGGCATTGCTGGAACCCAAGCTATGGCAGATGCAGCAGCCCAACCCGCTGTGGCCCAGGCCCTGGGAGAGACAGGTGCAGACAGTTGGGCGAACTTCTTTTCAGAGGCATTCCAAGCAACCGGCTTTAAGTCTTATTGGGGCATGCTGCACTATCTCACTTCAAGATGGGCCTTTACGTGTTTTGTGGTGGTAAGAGTGGCTGCTTTGGAAAATGGAGAAGCACATCTACTGACATGCATAGGCCCTGATTCTAAACCGTATCAGTGTTTACGGAGCGTCGAGGCAACGAATACAGCTGACTTGGACGAGGAGGCTGGCTTTGCGGATTGTCCCCATTGTGCTGTTTATAACTCAGATCCATCAACTCCTGCAAGCTATTCGGTGCCAAACATCGCCGGATTTCTCGCTCTATCGGCACGGAGACAACAACAAATACAGCCTCTTAGATTGGTCCACCGACGGTGGCTGGCTGCACATTCTCACATCTACACTTCTATTTCGGTCGACAGACGCCCAAGCTTGTGCCGCCATTGGGATGAGCAGACCAAGCCCAGAGGTTCGAGCACCTTTTGGTTCTTTCTCACTTCTTTGGCCTTCCTTCTTGCGGCTCAGCCTGTCCCATGTCGTTGAAAATCTGTCATGCTCGCTACAACAGATACCGACAACGGCAGAGGTTGGAATGTCCGTGTTCGAGCATTCTCTAGCATTCGCCGAGGCTGAGACGATGATCTCCCACACCCTGGGTCTCGGCTACTATGGGTCAAGCAAATCCCCCAGCAGCGGTAAAGCCAACATCACGTCTCCTCGCCCGGATTCCCAGCCTACAATACCCGCATCCGGTACAATATTGGCTCTCGCCGACGCGACGGCCACTCTGACAGGTCCGCATCTACTTGATCGTGTCAACGTCCCGGTAGAAATCCTCTTGGTCGCATTATTGTCGTGCTGCAACTCGCTTTCATCTCACGTCATTGCTGTTTTGGGAAAGCAACGTCAATGGAGACTTATGAATACCGGAATATGGGCCATGACTTTCATGGCGGCGTTTGTCTGGGGATTCAGCACGACCAGTGTCATGGTTCGGAGCGGGGATAACGGCGACCGTCGCCCTGTTAGCAGTCTTTTACACTTTCCTACGGTGGCGATTATAGGATTCCTTCCTCATATGGTCATCCTAGCGGGGATTGCGATCTGCCTGCTCATATACTTGGTTGCACTCACTTTGACGGCGGTTTCCCTCGGCACCAACCCGCAAATTCCACGGCCAACCACCCTTAAAGAACGTTTCATCATAGCTCACGACAATCTGCAGGCTGCGGTCCAAACTCGAGGGATTGAAATCCGTTGGCATGAGGACTTCTACACAACACTCCTCCGCAGCGGATTTGCTGCACTGACAGCGGCATCTGAAGCAGTTTTCTTAAATGAGGGCAGGGCAGTCGAAGTCCGCCAATTCACATGGTTGGAAGAGGACAGACTGGATGAATTCGACGCAGCAATGCGTGAAATGGGACCTTTTCAAAGTGCCTTCCCAAACAGTCAACAATTTCAAATTCTAGAAGAATACGGCCTTCCTCCTTCGAGACCTGGGGCCGCCGACAAGGGCGGTGTCTGGGAGTCTGGCTATTCCAAGGAACGAAAACTCGACAAAAAGGAAAACGAAGCCAAAGATTCATTCGTCTATCCTACCCCTCGCGCTGGCGGAGTCGGCGCTGTACAACGGACCACCCGTTTTTATTTGCTCATGATCTATGTTCGTGGCATCATATTTTTAGTTGCTGGATATATTGGATTTGGGATTGGCGTTCTGCTGGACACGGTTGGCATCACGGCGCGACCTCGCTGGCTTAGACGAATCGTTGGTCGGTCTCTGAAGAGGATGAACGCAAAACCAAGCGGTCTGAATAGCGAAGGAATGCTGGACTTTTGGATTCTATCAGAAGACGGGAAGCTCACGATAGCGAGCAGCGATGAAGTCGATATCGAGCCAGAAATGAAGAGGCGATTGATGACCGAATTCCCCGGAGAGAGGATTGATGAACTGCTCGATACCAAGTTGTATGAATGGTGGAAGTCAGGCGGATGGTTTGGCACAAAAGATGATAGCGGAGATTATCAGCCATCGAATGCTGATGATTGCGACGATACCACGAGTGTCATTTCGACGTCCACTGAAGCCAGCACTCACAACAGCGATGGCGACGAAGAAAATGCCTGGGAATCCGAGCCTGATGGAAGTCGAACACCGACTCAATCCTCCACGGGCCAGTCGTGGTCATTCTCCGGCGTTGTGACCAGAGAATCAACACCGGCCTTCACAGACTCGCCGCTCGATGCAGCGACCCTGGCAAGACTTTTAAATCCACCAGACAGAGAATCCCGCGAAGAAGCACGGATACTTGCCTCTCACCTCGCCACTGTGCCGGCTAACTCTCCTGGTGTGATGACTCGTTCACGCTACCGTCGCGAGATCGAGTCCGAACGAGCTCGAATCCTCCTTGCCGGACGCAGTCCAGCTCCCGCAACATCCAATCACCATCGGGCCCCAACAATCTCCCTGTACCAAGAGCCGCAACCCACAGGCCCCCGGCCCCTCACCCCCATAGAGGAAGCAGAGGTCCTCGAATCCCTGATTCTCAACCGTCGACGGAAGCATGCACCCCCTGTGCCACCGCCTCAAAGTGGAACGCCAGACACGGGCAACCCAGATCAAGACAGACAGTACGGACCTCCTTGTGTCGTTTGTCAGAATGCGCCGCGAACAATTATTGCCTGGCCGTGTCGATGTCTCTGCGTCTGCGAGGATTGTCGGGTCAGTTTAGCATGGAACAATTTTGGGAGCTGCGTTACCTGTCGGCGGACTGTGCAGGGGTTTGTGAGGCTTTACGTACCATGAGGTATCTGTGCATGAGTTGTAACATCCAAGGAAAGCAGGCGATATGCAAGAATCTTTCTTCTTTCCCTCCTTTTCTCTCTCCTCTTTCAGCTGTAAATCTGACGGTCGTTGGATGAGCAACAGCCAGCGCCCAAGAAGATTTGTTCTCTCCCGTCCCAGTCCAGGGACTTTCTTTCTTTTCGCGGGGGGTTTATCGATCCTCTCTATACGACATTGTTGCTGTATCCCGGTTGGCGATAGTGCCACCAGGTGTGAGCCTTCAGGACCGTCTTCGACACTTTCTCTCCCAGCTGCGTAAGATTGCATCTGATACTGCCGAGAATACAAAGTACTTATTGCCCCTCAAGTCCGTGTCTATATCGACCGCAAGCGAGCAAGCGAGCAAGGACTTTGATTTATATCTAGTTCTGGTTTTCATTTTACATTTCCGTATGCCTGCCCCAGCAGGTAGGTCTCCCTCTACACAGAAAAGCCAAAAACAAAAGTTCAAACAAAAAATAAACCAAGCCGCCCATGTCCATCATCATCAATCATCTTCATTGGCGCCGAAATTTCCAAATTGACAAACGATAAAGTCGCAGCAAACACAGCAGAGACTGCACAGCCGACACCGTCTTGTCGCATCTTCAAAGCAAGCCTACCCAGGTCTACATGACTAGCCAGAGGTGGTGGTGGCGGCAGCCGCGAACGCTTGCTTTTCCTCGTCCCATGTTCCTAGGAAAGAGCCTAGATCGTCTATGGCAGCTTCCAGATCAAAGTCGGCGTCGCTCTCGACCAATTTGAGTAATTGCTGTCGCTGTGCATCCTGCCTGCTCGATGATGACAAGCCAGGGTTGCTCGACTGGAGAGGCGCTCTCATCGAACTCTGCAGGAATGATTTGAGGATGCTTCTCGGCGCGGATGTTCGTAAGCCGTTTGGAGACCCCGAGTCGTTGGGGGCTGAGCGCTGTCCGCCGTCTGCACTAGATTGCTGCTCCAATCCGAGTGGCATCGCTGTCTTGGAATCTCCCACCCTGTTTTGATTCGCGACAGTCGGTTTCGCAACCTTCAGAACCGATTTGATAGACCCCCGAGATGACTCAGATGGTATATTCTCAGTCGATGATACCATTCGCCTTTTGTTTTTGGTTGCTCTGGCCTTCGCGATACCCGCTGGAAAGGATGCTTTTGGATTACCCCGCCCAGCCTTCCTCATGGACTTGGACAAAACAAATGCATGGTCAGTTACGGAATGCAACGTGCCAAAGCTGTCGGCCTTGTTCTGGGATTGATGCTGGCTATGCAGTACCGGATCTGGTGGGTATGTTAGGGGAATGTGGTCCTGGTAAGGCACATCCCTGGCGTGAGCAGTCGTATCCCCAGCGGCGGAAACATCAATAGCAGCTGCTCTTTCCACGTCCACGGCGTCGACAACTTCGGAATAACAGCGATCCAGGGCTTCGTGGAACATTTGACCGTGACTGGAGAGATCCGAAGGCAGAGACGCTAAGACCGGAGGTGATGGCCCTTGAGCGGAGGGCAAATCAGTCGTCGTGCTTGATTCCGCTGTTTCTTTGGTCAGGGAATGAGGCGCACGCTCACTGTGGTTCGGAGGAGCTGCGTCTTGTGCACTAGGAAGCGAAGCAGAAGTACCGTTTAATCCGGGGGCCTCATTTCTCTTGGGCTCTGATTCTTTCTCCCTCTCGATTGTAAACAGCTGCAACCGACCGGGTTGAGGTTGGTGTTCGCTTGAAGCAGTTGTTTTATCGCAATTGTCATACAGGCCGAGGGCAGGAGGAACTACATCGACAGCGGACAGGATACGATGGGCTGCTTCCCGTTTGGATTTTAAGATGGCATATTCAGCCCTGTATTCGTTCGTCCAGGGTTGCTTCGTCGCCTCGTAGTGGTTGTGGATATCTTGATTCGTGGGCCTTAGTGGGGAGGTATGGCAGTCTCTTGCTCCCGGAGCGATCTGCCGAGTTTGCGGTTTGACGGGGGATGAAAAGCTGCTCTTAAATCCTTCGAGTTGCCTCAATGCTGTCATCCTGCAAGAAATTGAACCTTGATCACTGGCGATGTTCACATCAGCATCTACTTGAACTGGACGTTCGATGTTCCGTCTGGGATGTCCGCACTTCTTCGTCTTGCCATCACTGGGTGACGAAGATAGCAAGTCCGGCTGTGCATGCTCTGGTCCCTTGTATGCTGCATTCGTCCTCAACCAATTTTTCACCTTGTTGTGCTTAGGAGGCTCGGCCTCCTTCTCAAGATGTGGGCTTGTCCTCTTTCCCCCCTGTACACTGCTGGTTACCGGACTCCGGTTGCGCCCTGAGGAGCTTTCCTTTGTTTGCTTTGTGACATGTATGCTTGTGTCCGGAGCCGCTTGTGCCACATGCTCCCCCCTCAAAACCGGAGAGTTCTGCTTCTTCCCTCGCGCAGGCTTCGGAGGTGGTGTAGGGATCTGTTGATTTGTTCCAGTCTTCTTCGTTTTGTTAACCTTCTCTCTGGCCCAAGGATTTGTCCATCCGCCGTCGAAGGGTCCTCTCAGCTGGGCTGTGAGAATGAACAAAGGCTGGCCCCGGAGATAGGCGGTGGCGTGGCTCTCAATCCGTCGTCTTTTGGCTGCTCTCTGCTCTTCATCTTCTTCAAAGTCGCGGCTCTGGTCGCAATAGACGATTGTATCATCGCAGATTGGGATCTCATCGGCACAGATGGGTGACACCGGTCTTGGATACTCGGGTAATTTGGGGTTCCGAGCGGGCATGGCCGAAAGGTTAAAGATTGAGACATGCAGGTTACTAGCTGGAGGAGCAACGATATTCGCTGAGGAACAACGACTGCATGAAAAGGTCAGACAGAGCAAGTCGCAAGACGTCAATTGCCTTGGGCAGGGAGTGGCGCCTGGCATCCCGCACTTGACAGGATAGGGCAGAAGCCACTCACTAGTCGATCCCAAGGCGATAAGCAGCCTCACGCGTCACGCGTCTCAAGTGCCTGCAGGCAACGATGACGCCGCGAGGGCCCTCTCTCCGTCGTGCACCGCGTCTTGGAACCAGGTACGGAATGCTAAGAAGATTGAGTAACTCGGACACATTAACGCTCTTTTCTGCTGTATCTACCTATCTCAGTTTCGATTACAGGCACACGAAGCCTTTTAACGCAATGCCACAATCTCAACGAAAGGAAATTCGTAAGCCAAGAGACAACACTTGTTTTCCCCAGTACCAGGGTGTAAAGACATCATCTTCACCGCCACCACTACCACCAGCCAAACTCTTAGGAGGGTATCAATGCAAACAGCCGAATTCACACAAAACATGAGGGCTCTCCTTCAGCATCCCTAGTGGGAAGTGACGCCGTCGTAGTAAGTCTTGTTGGCGCTACCGTTGGTGACGTCTTTGTTAGTGTCGAAGGCTTGGTCGAGTTGATTGCTGAAGCCAGCTGTGGCACCGGCAGGGTTGCTGGTTGCCGTCGTGCCAGTAACAGACGACATGTTGTCCTCCGAGTGCGGATGATTGCCACCACGGATAGTACCGGCAGCCGTCTCATGGGGTTTGCGGGTGACCGATTGCGGCTTGGGAATGTCAGTGGACTCCTTCGCGTCGCCGATGCTGAAAATTGGCGATTCCCAACGATCCCCCTTGGCCGCAAGCTCCTTGTACTCCGTCGCCTTGGTCGACACACCGCCGGGCAAGTTGATATGCTTGAACATAGCATCTTGCTTCGTCATGGCCACGTTGACGTTGGTCTTGGAGGCGACGTCTTTGGCCTTCTCCTTCTTCTCGGTTAACATCTTCTGGTAGGAGTTCCAGTAAGTTTGCCAGATATTTGGAGCATTCTCAGGGTCGTCCTTGGTGGCTTGTTTGACGCGTTCGACATCTTGATGAACACTGAAAGCAAAGGCATCCGCTTTCACGAAGGCGTCCTTGATCTGTTTCTCGAGCACCTTTTGAATAGCGGGCTTCATTGTCTTCAGCACCAACGGCTTAGCAATCTTGAACAACAACTTGTGGTTGGACTGTTTAATCTTGACGTTCAAATGCTTAATTGTCACGTCCACCTTGTCCACGGCCACGAAGTGACTGCGGTCGGTGGCGGTGGCATTTCGCGCCGAGATTTTAAAACTGAAGCCTTCGCCTCCGAGGAAAATGTCCATGACTCCCTTGTCGGTGATGGATGGGAACCCTTGCTTCTTCTTGATGTAGTAAGCCACGTCTTGCAAGTCCATCTGAACGCCGGAGCCGGCGATGGTGACCTTGTTCTCCCTCTTGTTGGAGATTCCCTTACGACCCATGCGGAAATAGTTGTCACTACCAAACTCCAATACGTTGGGGAAGAGATTGTCGCTCTCGATGACAAGGTTCTCTACCACAGCATCAATCATGGGATCTGAAACTTCGATTCTCGGGATTGGAACGTAGCGAGTATTTTCGAAGATCTCGGGGATGATAACCTCGGTGAGATCCTTGACCAAATGAGGCTTGAACGTGGGCTTGCCGTCCTCATCGTTGCCTAGGTCGAGGAACATTTTCGTCACAGCATCCCCAAATGCCTTGTTCTGTGGGTCTTGGTCAAACTGATCACCGAGGAACTTGATCTCGTCGAGGATACGGTCGGTGTGATCCCGATAGCGGTCGCGAAGGAGGAAGCGGCCTTTGCCGTGGAGGCGGTTGTATTCCTCGTTGGCTGCGTCTTGGAGAATGTATCCCTGCTCCTGCAGGCACTTGCGGATATACTTGTCAACGGCCTTAAACCAATCCTTGAGTTCCGGATCACGATCTGCGTCTCGGTAGATGTTGTTCAAGGCGTCGAAGAAGTCATCGGTACTTGTGTAGTTGGCGAAGCGTTCAACAATTGTCTTTAGTTTGGTTAGCGCGTGCTTGTTGTCGCGGTAAGTGTCTGTACGCACCTTCAGGTTAGCCTCTGCTCTCTTCAAGCGATCGTCTTCATGAGCACCTTTGACAGTTCCCGCCGATTGCGAAGTCAAGTTGTTGGCTTGACCGCCGTACGTCTCTGCGAGAGAGAGGAGCGTGTCAATAGCTTGGCGATCTATGAGAACGTCAGTCAATTGTCCTTGGTCAGATGACGCAGCAGCACTTACAGTCAGAGTGACCTTGAATCTCCACAACCATCTTTTTAAGGCGCCAGATCGTCTGGTCACGGCGCTCTTGGGGTATCTTCTTATCCATGTAGTTCTTGGTGTGCTGAGCCGTGGTTTCCTTGGCCTTCTTTACATCTTCCTGGCGTTCATCTGGAATATTCTGCCGAGCACGGTCCCTCAGATTGTCCGTTGCGTTTTGCAGCCCTGCGCGTCCGGCCTCTTGATTGTCCTGACCCGGATGCTGCTGAGCAGTGTCCACGCCTTGCTGTACGGCGTCCTCAACTTCCCCTCTGCTGAAAGGCTTGTTCTGGTTGTACGCATCGCGTGCTTGGTTCTTCAAACTCTCTCGAGACAAGTCTGGAACGTCGTGCCAGGTGTTATCTTCAGCCGGGTGGTCGATTTGATTCAGCTGGTCTTCGGAAGGATTAACACGACTGGCGACATTCTGAGCGGCGTCACCGGCCATGTCCCGCATAAGGATCGTGGCATCGTTCAAGAGTTTGCGAAATTGGCCATTCGAGAGGATGAGTCTGCCGAGGGTCTTGAGACCTTCCAAGGCTTGGTCACCGTGCTGTTGAGCGGTGGTTTTGTCCGTAGGAGCTTTGGGGAGGTTGGCATTGCTGCCGTCCAGGTGTTGAGCATCCCAGATGAACTCCTGAAGCAGATTTCCCTCATTCTTGGACAGCAACAGATATTTGGCTTGACGGATGACCTCTCTCAGGTGGCCAATCAATTTGCGACCCTCTTCGGAGAGCTTTGGAGAGGGTGAAGAGAGAGCCTTGGATGCGAGGGCACTGTTGAGTGCCACATCGATCTGCTTGTTGGAGGGGACCTTGCCATTGACGAAGGCTTGGTAGATGCCGTAGAGCTGGAGTTTCTGGTTGATGTCCTTCTCCTTGATGGATTTATTCGTGGGACGATTAACAGAAGCCATGGTGAAATTCAGTCGAGGCAAAACGATGCAAAAGGGGTATCACAAATGTAAGAAAACAGAGAAACGAGACGGGTCAAGCCCTTCAACCGAAGTCTTGGTGATGAAGGTTCGCGATTGCAGACTTGGATGGGTTGTTGGAGAGATGGATATGTGTGAGGCAGTGGATTGCAACGATGGCACAGTACGGGTGAGACGTGGTATGAGAAGGAGGAAGCCAGGCCAGACGTGAGGAGGTGATGTAGTTATGAATTCCACTGCCAGGTGGGAGGGGGTGGGGGGGGGGGGGGGGGGGGGGGGGGGGGGGGGTGTTACTATTACCTCACAGCCAAGCTGGTGGCACAGGGCGTCACTGAAGACTGAACAGAAGGAGCAAGGAGCAAGGAGCAAGGAGCAAGGAGCACGCGCAACACGACCTGCTTGTTCCAAGATGGAGAGCGATCTGGCCACAATCTTGCCGCAATCGACCAAGGATCGGCAGAACTGTGGCTTGCACTCAGCAGAAGACGCCAGAAACAGAGTTGGTCGTCAGTGGTTGAGCATCATCTTTGGCCGAAACAATGTGGACATGTCCAAGGCGTCGTAAAGTCAAAAGATGATGGTGCGGATATCAATTGCGAAGACCCCCCAAAAATCCAACGAGGCGTCATGACATCACCAGCCACCTCGGTCACCTCTGACCTCAGCAACCTCAGTTAGCTAACATCATGACGACGAGCTTGTTCGCCTCGTTCTCTACATCTCCCCCGCCTCTGTCCCTCTTCAGGATGCTCGCGGGGTTGGTTATATTGATGAGCTTCTGATGACATGACTGACGCGGTTGCCATGGGTGGTCAAGCCGCTTGTCCAGGAGGGTGCTGTCCAAGTCCTCGTATGTCGCATATTCCAACGACATCTCCAGGGCCCTGAATTCTCGACGTTTTCGTCATCACCGGTCACTGCGGACGTCGATCACGATCAAACGAGGGATCTCTTTCTTGCAGGTCACGGCTTGATTGAAAGACTGGCAAACCGTGCATGGCTCTCCACAAAAATGACGTTTGGAAGGCTCCAGTCACGTCCAGATTGCCCAAGGCTCTGGGAATAGTTACCCGCCAATGATCGCTGCAATCAGAGCCTTGCCAAGAGATCTTAGGTAATTAGTGGCCGAGGCTGGCATCACATATCACCAGCCACAGTTTCCCTCTTAAAAGCCATATCACGTGCTAGCGCGCTTCGTTCTCCAACGCCGCCTTCCCCGCTGCAGACAACCTGACCGCTGTACTCCGTACCAAGTACATATGTACAAACACGCGCAGTTTACATCCAATCTCTCATGGCTGGCGTTGTTTAAATATACTCCTTCCTACCAAGGTCTTTTGTAATCTTTTTAATCAGACTACCTGAGAAGATCATCCTTGCTGCTGCGAGCCATGGCAGCTAGATCCTCCAGAGCGAGCGCTCCAAAACGTCCGTTCCGCGATCAAAAGCGACAGACTCGCCTACAATTCTCGTCTCTTCCTTCTTCACCTCCTGCTCAAGCAAGTTCCAGCCCAGATATACCAAACCGGCTTGCTGGGGTTCCTCCAAGGCCAGATGAACCTTCTCCCGAACCTTCGTGTCCGCCGACCCTAGAACTTCCGCCCGAGTTGCAACGCTCGACTCAACGTATGATCCAGTTGGCATGCCGTTGATCAAACTGACCGTTTCCAGAACGAGCTGAAATGCCGCCGCACACCTCTTTTCCCTCATC